CACTAAGACATACATCAGGAGCCGACTCGATGGAGTTTAATGTCATACCCAGGGAAGGGCACAGATCTGTTTTGAAAGGTGGAGGGGGAGGGCATTTTGTAAGTCGACACCCACCCCAGCCCCACAATGGTTGGAGCTCAGGTGAAAAAAATTGAGAAAATAGTACCTCTAGATGGCCAGAAATGACACTTTTAGTAAAATTCATCATCATCACATCACCTTTAGTCAAAATGAAGCGCCAAAAGAAATTCTCATGATCTTTTATCAGGGATTTTGACAACCATAGAGATCTTATTAATGTGTGTGTATACACTATAGAAAACAAAGCTTAAAAACATTGTCTTTGAGTATGTACTTTACATAGGCCACTTCAAAAACGTGATTTCACAACCACCTCAGCCCCAGCCATGGTGAGAAAAGTTGAAGAAATAGTACCTCTCGAAATGGCCGGAAATGACACTTTTATATAGTAAAATTCATCATCATTACCATTATAGTCAAAATGAAACGCCAACAAATTTCTCATGATCTTTTATCAGGGATCTACTTAATATCCAGGACAACTTAGACCTAATTATAGCTTAATAAGCTTTAACTATATATACTATATTATAATCAACAAATCACAACCTTTTTTCGCATTTAGCACAATTTTCTTCACTTTTTATTGTTATTAATATTAATATCAATTATTACTATCGTCATCATCATCATTGTTATTATTGTTATTATTGTTATTATTATTATTATTATTATTATTATTATTATTATTATTATTATTACTATTAGTAGTAGTATTATTAAACAAAAATTTAAAGAAACTTGCAAAAGAATAAAAACGAAATTGAACCACAGTATCGCATTTCTATCTTAAAAGACCTGGCCTGAGATTTATGGATTTAAGATTTTAATCACGCTTAGGCTTATGTGTTCTATTAGGCCTATGTATAACGTGTACTGATGCATTTGCATGTTTAGAAGTATTCATTTTAAGTGATCCCAGGAAAGAATTTGTATTGGCTCAAGAATAAGCTTTAAAATTTTAACTGGTGGATTCAAAGGGGAGGGGGGGGGGGGGGAGCCGCGGCATTTAATAAAACAAATTTCTCTAGTTTAAATACCTTTTCCCCAGAATTAGTGATAATTCGTTATCACGCATAGACTTGACCCCGTATGTGTGGGACCGTCCCGCACGATGCGAGACGGTTGGTAACTATGTAGTACTAGGCAGGCTTAGGCTTAGGCCTACACCAGCGGAAATTTTTGCCTCTTTTTTGGAAGAGGCCTACGCCCCTAAGCGTCAAGGCGGAAAAACCCTGCTGTGATCGAGGTTGAGGAGCTTAGGCATTTTTGATAATTGTAGGTCTTATTTAATCGATGTTATCAGTGGCGGATCTAGGAATTTGAAGAGGGACCAGGGAGGGACTTTCACAAATGAAGGAAGTACCACCATCAGCCCCACCATGGTTGAGGCTGAGAGAAGACAATTATTTGTGATTTTGGCACCTACATGACCGGAAATTACACTTTCTTTTTTCCCCAATTTTTTATTTTTTTATTTTTTATACTGAGGGGGGGGGGCGGGACGACTGGGCGTCCTTAGATTCACCAGTCAGCTGTCAGTGGTGGATCCAAGAATTTGAAATAGAGGGGGCAGGGGAAGGACGTGCAGAGATTAAGGGTCTACAACTCAGCCCCACCATGGTTGGGGCTGAGCTAGCTAAGAACATTTTTGATTATGGCACCTCCATATGACTGGAGATGGCACTCTCATACTTAAATTCGAATATAAATTTCTTTTGCATACGGGCCTAGGCCTGTTGCGGTAGTTACGCCACTGTCTAGGTGCCCAGAAATTGTACTCTCATACCTTAACAATCTTACCGGTAATTCATATCAACAAAACAATACAACAATTAATTTTTGTAATAAAATTTAGGGGTGTGCGTCGCACTGTCTGCACCCCACTCCTGTATGCTGCCCTAGGATTGAATACAATATAATTCGTTTTAGGCGATATTTAAAGAAAATTTATTGGAAAATTTCATTATTAACTTAAAGTTTAAGATTGTGAAACGATTTTGTTTTGTCGTCGCCAAACAAAGCGAAGTGAAAAAGTTTTGAGCAAATTGAAATATCATTAACGTAATCAAAGTTTCTGTGCCGCCTTATTCTGTCCTTGTGGGAAAATGGTCAACACAACAATAGTACTTTTCTCTATTCATAGATAGGCCTATGTAAACTAGCGTAATCTACCAACAGCTCACAACTTGTGATTCAAAAGCATACAAATAATAGCATATAAATACAAATATTACAAAAGGCAAGGCATAGCCTAATAATAATGCGCCTCTTTTTGTCCTCAGACAACTCTTCGCATTTTCATTTCCGAGAATCGTAAATAATAGGGGGTTCCGAAATAGTCCCAGATAATTCCTGATTCATAAAGACCATTAAGATTAGAAAAGTAACATGCGTTGAACCACCAGCCACACTTAAACACAAAACTGCAGGACGAGTCATAATTATCGTTATCTCGGTCAACTGTAGAGAAGCACATGCCATTGTTGTACAAATTGGTATGATAATCGGCTCTGTAGTCAAGTCCTTCAGCTGTAAAACATAACAAGGCGATTGATTAGTTAAGAATGTTTTTATTTTTTCATGCCCTATTGAAACTATATCTTCATTCAAAACATATTCATTAAATAAAATAACCTTATAGTTCTCTTTCATGTTCAAATATGTACAGTGGCGTAGGAGTCTTAAAATCGGGAGCTGATGGGTAAAGCGCAAAGGTCACGCCACAGACCCCATATACATGGTCTGTGGTTACGCCATCTGGGCTCGATGATTAGGTGAGGGGCTCTAACTCACAAAATAAGGGAATTTTAGGTGATTTTTAACTACTCCAGCGTGATTTTGGGGCTGGGGCGACAGAGGAGCGAGTATTTTATTCAGGGGCGTGTAACCCCCCCCCCGCATCCCCTAGGTACGCCACTGAATATGTATAATATTATTGATTATGCACAGTATGTGTTTCGAGAACAGAGCTATTCTATTCATTTGCAAACTATAAAAAAGGTTTACAAAACAAACAAATCCTTTCTAAAAACTTATGTTACATACAATTATTTCGCTTTGTATCGAAATAAGACAAATAGAATACAAATACAAAATGTTACTATAGGACCTCCAACACCTTTGTTATGCTCGGTGCTAATAGTGCTCCCCACTTAGTTATTCTGATAATTTGGTGCCCCCACCCCCGCTTGAATATTCTGGATCCGCCGCTGACTGTCATTTCACTGCTAAACTGGATGAACCTACTTAAAATGAATTATTTTATTTGTAAGGTTTTGTTATGTTTGTTGAATTGCAAATAAATCAAATATAATTAAAATAATAGTTGACAATATGGTATTACCGACAGTTGACTTATCGTCAATGTACTCTCCTATGTCCAATCTGAAGTTTTCAGCTTCAATTCCAATCTCAATTGACTCATAGGTGACGTGATAAGCGCTGTCATCTGTAGCTACCATATCTATCCGAAATTCATACTTTCCTGACGACGTAATTTTGTGGATTTTCTTGTTTCCAAGCCAAAACTCGCCGCTTAACTTACCAAATCCAGACGCATAATTTTGCCAGTTTTGGTTGAAATCTACAGAGCCATCTTGTCGACGCTGAAATACCTATAAGATTGTGATTTTTATTATTTCAATTATAGGCCACAGGCAGTGGCAGCGTCAGCTTCTGAATTATGGGGAGGGGAAAGTGCAGGGGCAAGGTAAATTCGTAGGGGGAATTATGTTTTTCCATAGAAAAACCGGAGATACAATTTAAGATAAGCGATAAGAGAAAATTAACACGATTGCTGGTATTGATCGTGATAAGCACACTACCCCGGATAAGCAAATGCCTTGCATTAACTTCACTAAATCTATTGATAGGCCTATTATTGGGTGGGAGGGAATTTGCTGGGGAAAATTCTTCGCCTTCCTTTCTCACCGTAGCGCCACCACTGGTCATAGGCCTACTAACACAGTAAAGTATACAAATGACAAATAATATGCATTTGGTATAAAACAATTTAAAGACGCAATACCCATGAAGAAACATCAGAGTGGGCATCGATTTTGGTCATCACTTGAAGAGAATCAGGTCTAGGATACTAATAGGTATTTACAAAATGACTATAGACCTACGTGATTTTAGCAAAATTTAAATTAATAAGAACAAACAGTGCGCCATCCAATTTGTGACAACTTTTTGGACCAGAAAACGTCGTGTGGTCTCGGTCTCCAATTGGTTTAACTTTATGTAAAAGGATTAAAGTTTGTTAGTTGGTACAGTAGCCTACTTTAAGTGGTCTCGAATTAGAGGGCAAACTGTATTTGAAACCTACTGTCCACGCTTTATCATCAGTGTCCATGTCACAATAAGCAAGAAACGCGTCGCATGATGAGCATGGCATAATTTTATAAACACCGCTTTCACTTCTCATTCCTTGCTTGACGTCAGTACAGTCGCGCTGCCGCATCGTGTACAACAGTACATTCGTTGGGAACATCAATGTAACTAGTTGACATTGAGATTTACTGGCGAGTACGTCACACATTTGTCTGTCTCTATCGTAAGCTATAGAGGAACATTCAAAGTGACGCAAACACAGTTCTACACAATCTGTCAAACCCCTCACTGATGAATGATGTAGTGAATGACTCGACAGCAGATGTCCATTAGCTCTGGACATCGACAGGGCGTGGATTACTGATTCAACTATAATAACGAAAATACCAAATTATAAATATTAATAACACCAAACAATTTCCAAAATGTTAGCCTCAGGGAGGCTGATCTTTCTGGGTTCTGGGCTGGAATTTTGTAAAAATACAGAGTTTTGTATAGACCCAACATAAGGTAACTATCGGCAAGTACTTACTGTTAGCTTTAAAAGGAAATAATTCAATTACAAATTGACCATTTTAAAAAACTGAAGAAAAAATTTAATAAGGAATATAAAGAAAATGAGGATGGTTTGAGACTAACTGGTACGATTACGAACACTATGAATATCAATGATGTGAAATCAGGCCTAATACCACCAGGTTATTTGAGACTTTCGAACACTACCGGTACTGTATTTTACGGTTAGTTTTCAATTATTTTGGGTTGTTTACATCATGTCTACACCTTACTGAAAATTAATGAAATCAGGCCTACATACCACCAGATGCAGAGAAAGTCAGCAGTGGCCTCAGGAGCAAGAAAATCAAGAACAGCTTCCAAAGTCTGAACATATTTGCTTGCTAGTATTAAGATCCGATAATACACTCGGTTCACTGGTACTCTTCGACTGTTGGTTTGTATAAAACTGGAGGAGTTGAATTTTATGGATTGTTCATGTAAAGCCAGTAACTAGGCAACTTTATTTTATTATAATTATTGTATATAAAACTTACATTATTCATTATTATAATGAGATTTTGTCAATTGTGTTTAATGCTTTGCCTAGAAATAAATGAAACAATATCAAGTAACAAAGAGCCTATTTAATGAAACGAAATTAAGTCAACATAAAAAGCCTATAAACAATTTTTGCACACACACGACGAGAAACATATTTTTGTAATAATTGAATAATTGAACTATAAACTTGATTTGTTAAAAAGACTGAATTATTTCGAACAGTAACTTAAGATTAGAGTATAGATTATATTGATTGATTTGATTGTACTATTGCTAACTTCAATAAGAAATAATGTATCGCATTGTTCATGAGCAAGGTCATAACATATGTCGACAGCAATAGGATTCCGGCAAAGAAGTAAACGCCGACCCTGAATTTATTCAGGAGATTCATCACGGTAATTTTTTTTTCAACCTTTTGTTGATAAAAATCGTTTTCATAATCTTTTAGATGAATGAGAGAATCATGTTAATAATAGTACGGTAATTTTAACCAAAAATTCTACTTATGCACAATTAAGAGAATGATATTACTACTACTACTACTACTACTAATAATAATAATAATAATAATAATAATAATAGGCCTAATAGGCCTAATAGGCCTAATAATAATAATAATAATAATAATGGTTAACTACTAAATAACTATCAGCAAGTACTTACTTTTGGCTGTAAAAAAGAAATAATTCAATTATAAATTGACCATTTAAAAAAAACTGAAGAAAAAAATTACTAAGGAAAATAAAGAAAATGAGGATGGTTTGATTGACGATTACGAATACTATGAATATCAATGATGTGAAATCAGGCCTACTACCACGAGGTAGTTTGAGACTTGCGGTACAAACACTACCGGTACTATACGGTTAGTTTTCAATTATTGAAATTACTGAAAATCAATGAAATCAAGCCTACATACAGTACCACCAGATACAGAGAAAGTCAGCAGCGGGCTCAGGAGTAAGAAAATCATCAACAACTTCCAAAGTCTGAACATATTTGCTTTCTAGTGCTTGCTAGATTCAAAAATTTATCGCATTAAGCGCGTTTTATCTCATTAATCAAATTTTTTGTCGAAGTTTAAGAATAATAATAAGATCACGTTTCTAGTGTTTATTGCTCATTTTCCCCTCTGTAGATACCAGTGTCCGTTTTAATTGTCACAATCCACTGGCACAAAAAGTTTTATGCAATCCGTCCAATAGTGAGAATCATCAATTTTTGCTCATAATCATAAGCATGCACAGTAATGAACTTTGTAGTTAATTATTGAACTGACCATTTTGTTTGAATTCGTAGCCTAGTGAAAAAACACGACGACCGTATGAGTACGAGGGCACATTAGCCCTGGCATGTAAACAATAGGCATAAGGCAGGAAAATAATACACTGTATTTATTTCGAACTACTTCTCAGTGTTTATTCACATTTGGGATCAAAAATGAGCTTTTATATATTTTGTTCTACGACAGGAATATCATAGGTTTATACTTTTGTTGGCCTAATAGAGTTCTACTTGCTGCCCTGCAAATTTTTCCATTGCTATTATACTAATCTGAGAGATTTGAAATGCGTGAATGACCAGTGAAGGGAGGGAGGGTGGTAGGGGTGCGGGGGCTCCTACGATCTGAGCCTGTAGTTAAAACAAGTTCAAGGAGTGTTTGTTAACAATAACGGGTACACAAACAAAAGTGTTAAGGCTGATCTTTCTGGGTTCTGGGCTGGAATTTTGTAAAAATACAGAGTTTTGTATAGACCCAACATAAGGTAACTATCGGCAAGTACTTACTGTTAGCTTTAAAAGGAAATAATTCAATTACAAATTGACCATTTTAAAAAACTGAAGAAAAAATTTACTAAGGAATATAAAGAAAATGAGGATGGTTTGAGACTAACTGGTACGATTACGAACACTATGAATATCAATGATGTGAAATCAGGCCTAATACCACCAGGTTATTTGAGACTTTCTGTACGAACACTACATGTACTGTATTTTACGGTTAGTTTTCAATTATTTTGGGTTGTTTACATCATGTCTACACCTTACTGAAAATCAATGAAATCAGGCCTACATACCACCAGATGCAGAGAAAGTCAGCAGCGGGCTCAGGAGCTAGAAAATCATCAACAACTTCCAAAGTCTGAACATATTTGCTTTCTAGTGCTTGCTAGATTCAAAAATTTATCGCATTAAGCGCGTTTTATCTCATTTATCAATTTTTTTGTCGAAGTTTAAGAATAATAATAATAAGAGCGTGCTCATTTTCCCCTCTGTAAATACCAGTGTCCGTTTTAATTGTCGCAATCCACTGGCACAAAAAGTTTTATGCAATCCGTCCAATAGTGAGAATCATCAATTTTTACTCATAATCATAAGCATGCACAGTAATGAACTTTGTAGTTAATTATTGAACTGACCATTTTGTTCGAATTCGTAGCCTAGTGAAAAAACACGACGACCGTATGAGTACGAGGGCACATTAGCCCTGGCATGTAAACAAGGCATAAGGCAGGAAAAGAATACACTTTATTTATTTCGAACTAGAGTAATTTAGTGTTTATTCACATTTGGGATCAAAAATGAGCTTTTATATATTTTGTTTTACGACAGGAATATCATAGGTTTATACTTTTGTTGGTCTAATAGAGTTCTACTTGCTGCCCTGCAAATTTTTCCATTGCTATTATACCAATCTGAGAGATTTGAAATGCGTGAATGACCAGTGAAGGAAGGGAGGGGGTAAAGGTGCGGGGGCTCCTACGATCTGAGCCTGTAGTTAAAACAAGTTCAAGGAGTGTTTGTTGACAATAACGGGTACACAAACAAAAGTGTTAAAGCCACGTACAAATTTTTAGTTTCAATGTATGTTTAATTTGAGCACCCGAAATATGTACACAAACATTTCATTACTTTAAACAAACAAAAAATTAATAGGATCAATTATTACGCGTCAGTGAATTAAGTATTCACGTTGCTGTACTTCCCTGACTGCGTGCGTGTTTGATGCTGACAACTACAATTTTAGTCACTGCCAGGGTGGCGTCAGCGGGGGAGACGGCGGGTAGGGTAGATAAAAAAAATATAGTCCTATGACTCTAAAATCGATTAAATAACCCTTTGAAACCCCTAAAATGTGTAATTTTTTTGGGGCTTCGCCTCCTGGACCACTTTCGAAACCTTTCAATCGAAGCTCGACCACGCCAACTTTGCTTTCGTGGGGACATCTGACACCCTGTCGGGGGAATCGGTCCCCCGTTGGGAGCGTCGCCCCTACCCCTCCCGCGTCGGGCAAATCCTGGCTCCATCCCTGGTCACTGCATTTAATAAAACAAATTCCTCTAGTTTAAATACCTTTTCCCCAGAATTAGTGATAATTCGTTATCACGCATAGACTTGTGCTAAATGCGTGACAAATTTACGATCCCGCATGTGTGGGACCGTCCCGCACGATGCGAGACGGTTGGTAACTATGTAGTACTAGGCAGGCTTAGGCTTAAGCCTACACCAGCGGATGATTTTTGCCTCTTTTTTTTGGAAGGGGGTGCGACGGTACTCCACCCCCAATACCCCCTCCCTTCGCCTACGCCCCTAGGCGTCAAGGCAGAAAAACCCTGCTGTGATCAAGGTTGAGGAGCTTAGATATTTTTGATAATTTTAGGTCTTATTTAATCGATGTTATCAGTGGCGGATCTAGGAATTTGAAGAGGGACCAGGGAGGGACTTTCACAGATGAAGGAAATACCACATCAGCCCCACGATGGTTGAGGCTGAGAGAAGACAATTATCTGTGATTTTGGCACCTACATGACCGGAAATTACATTTTCTTTTTTCCCCATTTTTTTATTTTTTTATTTTTTAAACTGAGGGGAGGGGGGGGGGGGGCGGGACGACTGGGCGTCCTTAGATTCACCAGTCAGCTGTCAGTGGTGGATCCAAGAATTTGAAATAGAGGGGGGAAAGGGAAGGACGTGCAGAGATTGAGGGTCTACACCTCAGCCCCACCATGGTTGGTGCTGAGCTAGCTAAGAACATTTTTGATTATGGCACCTCCATATGACTGGAGATGGCACTCTCATACTTAAATTCGAATATAAATTTCTTTTCCTTTTTTTAATAGTTTTGACAAATTTGAATGGGGGAGGCGTGATTTTTAAATTTTCTACCCTGGAAAATGTGTATCTTTGGTAATTTTTTTTTGTTGGGGGGGGGGGGAGTGTGCGATGGATGCATACGGGCCTGTTGCGGTAGTTACGCCACTGTCTAGGTGCCCAGAAATTGAACTCTCATACCTTAACAATCTTACCGGTAATTCATATCAACAAAACAATACAACAATTATTTTTTGTAATAAAATTTAGGGATGTGCGTTGCACTGTCTGCACCCCACTCCTGCATGCTGCCCCATGATTGAATACAATATAATTCGTTTTAGGCGATATTTAAAGAAAATTTATTGGAAAATTTCATTATTAACTTAAAGTTTAAGATTGTGAAACGATTTTGTTTTGTCGTCGCCAAACAAAGCGAAGTGAAAAAGTTTTGAGCAAATTGAAATATCATTAACGTAATCAAAGTTTCTGTGCTTCCGCCTTATTCTGTCCTTGTGGGCAAATGGTCAACACATCTATATTACTTTTTCTCTATTCATAGATAGGCCTATATAAACTAGCGTAATCTACCAACAGCTCACAACTTGTGATTCAAAAGCATACAAATAATAGCATATAAATACAAATATTACAAAAGGCAAGGCATAGCCTAATAATAATGCGCCGCTTTTTGTCCTCCGACAACTCTTCGCATTTTCATTTCCGAGATTCGTAAATAATAGCGGCTTCCGAAATAGTCCCAGATAATTCCCGATTCATATAGACCATTAAGATTAGAAAAGTAACATGTGTTGAACCACCAGCCACACTTATACTTAAAACTGCAGGACCCATAAGCATTATCGTTATCTCGGTCAACTGTAGAGAAGCTCATGCCATTGTTGTACTTATTGGTATGATAATCGGCTCTGTAGTCAAGTCCTTCGGCTGTAAAACATAACAAGGCGATTGATTAGTTAAGAATGTTTTTATTTTTTTAATGGCCTAATGTAACTATATCTTCATTCAAAACATATTCATTAAACAAAAAACCTTAGGCCTATAGTTCTCTTTCATGTTCAAATATGTACAGTGGCGTAGGAGTCTTGAAATCGGGAGCTGATGAGTGAAGCGCAAAGGTCACGCCACAGACCCTATATACATATAGGGTCTGTGTTTACGCCATCTGGGCTCGATGATTAGGTGAGGGGCTCTAACTCACAAAATAAGGGAATTTTAGGTGATTTTTAACTACTCGAGCGTGATTTTGGGGCTGGGGCGACAGAGGAGCGACTATTTTATTCAGGGGCGTGTACCCCCCCCCCCCACCACGCATCCTCCAGATACGCCACTGAATATGTATAATATCATTGATCATGCACAGTATGTGTTTCGAGAACAGAGCTATTCTATTCATTTGCAAACTATAGAAACACTTTACTAAACAAACAAATCCTGTCAAAATCAATTATTTCGCTTCGTATCGAAATAAGACAAATAGAATACAAATACAAAATGTTACTATAGGACCTCCGACACCTTTGTTATGCTCGGTGATGATAGTGCTCCCCATTCAGCTATTCTGATAATTTGGTGCCCCCACCCCCGCTTGAAATATTCTGGATCCGCCGCTGACTGTCATTTCACTGCTAAACGTGGATGAACCTACTTAAAATGAATTATTTATTTATAAGGTTTTGTATGTTTGTTGAATTATATTGAATATAACCTAAGTAATAGTTAACAATATAGTCTTTACCGGCAGTTGACCTATCGTCAATGTACTCTCCTATGTTCAATCTGAAGTTTTCAGCTTCACTTCCAATCTCAATTGACTCGTAGGTGACGTGATAAGCGCTGTCATCTGTAGCTACCATATCTATCCGAAATTCATACTTTCCTGACGACGTAATTTTGTGGATTTTCTTGTTTCCGAGCCAAAACTCGCCGCTTAACTTGCCAAATCCAGACGCATAATTTTGCCAGTTTTGGTTGAAATCTACAGAGCCATCTTGTCGACGCTGAAATACCTATAAGATTGTGATTTTTATTATTTCAATTATAGGCCACAGGCAGTGGCAGCGTCAGCGTCTAAATTATGGGGAGGGGAAAAGTGCAGGGGCAAGGTAGAGTCTTAGGGGGAAATATGTTTTTCCATAGCAGACCGGAGATACAAGATAAGAGATAAGAGAAAATTAACACGATTGCTGGTATTGATCGTGATAAGCGCACTGCCCGGGATAAGCAAATGCCTTGCTTCAACTTCACTAATCTATTGATATAATTGGGTGAGAGGGAATTTGCTGGGGAAAATTCTTCGCCTTCCTTTCTCCCCGTAGCGCCACCATTGGTCATAGGCCTACTAACATAGTAAAGTATACAAATGACAAATAATATGTATTTGGTATAAAACAATTTAAAACGCAATACCTATGAAGAAACATCAGTGCAGACATCAATTTTCGTCATCACTTGAAGAGAATCAGGTCTAGGATACTCATAGGTATTTACAAAATGATTATAGGCCTACGTGATTTTAGCAAAATTTAAATTAATAAGAACATACAGTGTGCCATCCAATTTGTGACAACTTTTAAACCTGAAAACGTCGTGTGGTCTCTGTCTCCAATTGGGTTAACTTTATGTAAAAGGATTAAAATTTGTTAGTTGGTACAATAGCCTACTTTAAGTGGTATCGAATTAGAGGGCAAACTGCATTTGAAACTTACTGTCCACGCTTTACCATCAGTGTCCATGTCACAATAAACAAAAAACGCGTCGCATGATGGGCATGGCATAATTTTATAAACACCACTTTCACCACTCATTCCTTGCTTGACGTCAGTACAGTCGCGATACGGCTTCGTGTACAACAGTACATTCGTTGGGAACATCAGTGTAACTAGTTGATATTGCGATTTACTGGCAAATACGTCACACATTTGTCTTTCTCTATCGTAAGCTATAGAGGAACATTCTTCAAAGTGACGCAAACACAGTTCTACACAATCTGTCAAACTCCTCACAGATGAATGATGTAGAGAATGACTCGACAGCAGATGTCCATTAGCTCTGGACATCGACAGGGCGTGGATTGCTGATTCAACTGTAATAACGAAAATACCAAAATGATAATAAATATTATTGACCGAACAATTTCCAAGATTTTATCCTCAGGGAGGCTGATCTTTCTAGGTTCTGGTCTGGAATTTTGTAAAGACCCAACACAAAAGTTTTGTTTTTTTAATTATAAAATATTTCTTAAGACTAATCCATTTTCGAAACTTAAAATGAAACATGTAGAGTCGTACATAGTGGTTAACTACCAATTAAGTATCAGCAGGGAACAGTGAAATTACCAGCAAGTACTTACTGTTGGCTGAAAAAAACAAATACTTCATTTGCAAACTGAACTGAAAGGAATAATTACTAAGGTCAATAAAGAAAATGAGGATGGTTTTTGAGACTAACTGATACGAACACTATGAATATCAATGATGTGAAATCAGGTCTAATACCACCAGGTAGTTTGAGACTTGTGGTACGAACACTACTGTATTTTACGGTTAGTTTTAAATTATTTTTTGGTTGTTTAGATCATGACAGTATTTTCAGTATTTAAGTATTTATTGGCACTCACTTTCAGATCAGTGGCACACACCTAGAAAGGTGGTGCGTCAATAAAATATATATAAAATGAACAAAATGTAATACGATCTTAAAATTATAGAAAAAATGATTAAAATAAACATACTTAATTACAGAGTTATAGTACAATAATAATAATTTTAAAAAAAAGAAAAACATATATAAATGTATAATTAAATAATTAGCTTAACGTTGGGCAATAAAAAATATTTACAGTAACATACATTGTTATTATGAGACAACTTTGTAATAACAGTTTTAGTATAATTGTATAGGTTGCAAGATTCTTTACAGAAAGAAAGATATATGATAAAATAAATCAAAACAGCATCTCCCGCCCCCCCCCCACCCACCTTTCCTGATTTTTACCAACTAATATTATTACAGAAAGAAGGTAAAAAATAAAGTAATACAATTTAAATCATAAGCCCCAATAAAACAATGAACTGGTACTTAACTAATATCACAAGAAAGTGAAATTCAAAATACAAATCAAAACAAAGTTCGCAACAGTAAAATGTTACTTAACCAAAATCACAAAAAGAATGTAAAGCACAAAATACAAATGAAATCAAAGACTCTAACACTAAATTTCACAAAGTAAAAGAGAGGATTTTTTTTAAATAATAGAAATGACATAAAACTAGGACATAAGATTATTAGTACTTATCTAAATTTTGTTTAAAATATGCGGTATTTTCTAACATATTACCATTGTACCGTAGTAAGCAAGTTTTCAACAGTATTTACATTTTTACATTTATTAATATTCTTCAGTTCATATTTGGGGGGTTTACTTATAAAAGTCTGTTCGGGCTTCCCAAGCCTTTTGTAAAAATGTTTTGCAGCAAGTGTCAACTATTTTTCCTGAAGTCGGGTTTTCATTGTATACATTATCTAGTAATAGGTGTAGTCTCATTTCCGAGCTACCTTCATCGAATGATTTCCAAAAAAAAAATGAAAATCGTTAAGAGATAGGTCAGTTTTAAGGGTTTTAAAAGATTCCTTTCTTAATTTATTGAATCTACTACATTCTAGTATAAAGTTTACGATGGTTTCTTTAGTGTTGTCATTACATAGCTTACGTATATCCCCGAATTTGTAAGCGACCAAACTTCTTTTCTACCTTCGAGGTTTAGC